AACAGCCTTTGGCTGCAGAAAATTAAGTCCAAAACATGAGCAACACAAACTGTAACTTTAAATCCAAACGAGCCAAACTGAAGTAATTAGTTTGGCAGGGCAGGAACAAGAATTTCAGACTTGAAGGCACGGTTCTCACACGGTGAGACTCACACGATTGGGAAGATGCCAGGGACACAGATAAGCTACAACAACACAGGATAAAGTCACATTTGCTCCCAGCAGCCTGCCGCACTCAGCATGTGTCTCTTTTAAACTCTCTTCCCAAGTGTGGCTAATGAAGGGAATCAGGGCCCTTTCCTCCCCCATAAGCCATGCAACCCACGTTGCTCTCTTCTCCGTTCCTCCCTGCATGCCCTAGGATGAAGAGGGGGTGGGCCTGGGTCTTCCTCTGAACTTCCTCTCCCTTGTTCTACCTCTCTCCTGCTCTGCCCAGCCAGACTTTGCCCTTCCCCGGCCTCCTCCACAGTCAACAGAGCCTGTCAGCTATCCGGCTTCCTCCTCGGATTCAGACTCTGACAGGGGCATGACACCATCAATACCCCAATCAACAACTAAAAAGCCACACACAACCACATAAATACAACACACAGAAGAGCCCAAGGCACACATTCTGGTACAGAGAATTTCCCTGAGGGTGGGCTCCACTGCGAATCCGAAATCTTGGAACACTAAACCTCTGATCTGGATTGAAAGGCCGTTCGTCTATACTTTGTAATTGTGTGTACAAGAAGGCACTGTTTTATAAACTGGGAGTCACTCTTCCTCTGAGACACATGACACCAATCCCAAATTTATTTTTGGTTCTTTTTTTCCCCCCCTCCCCATGAGGAATTGGCACTTTTGAGAAACTGTATAAATAAGTTGGGGTGTTTTTTTCCCTTTTGAATCCCAGCAGGTTAGAGTGACATGTCATCCCAATTCTGGCACTGGGACAGGATTTCTCCCGCTGGGGTCTCTATAGCGCCCACGCGCATTGCATCACCACTCGCCTCTGGCCACCCACTTGTAAGGAAGAAGGCCTGATGCAAATGCAAAAAGTTTTGCTGACTTTTCGGTTCTGTTTTGCTGGAAAAAAGGACAAAAGTTAACAGTCCAAAGTTACATGGAGGGGGAGGGAAGGAGGAAGAAGTTGTGATGTTTTGCAGTTAAAGTCACACTCCACAGGCATCTAAAAGGGGAGCCACATTGGCCTGAGGCAGAGGTGGGATTCAGCCGGTTCTGACCTGTTCTGGAGAACCGGTAGAGGAAATTTAGAGTAGTTCACAGAACCGGCAAATACCCCGTCAACCTCATCTATTCTCTGCCTCCCATTGAGTCTCAGCTGATTGGTTGGGTCTTCTTTTGTTGCTCTGCATAGGAGAACGGAGCTGGAAAGCAGGTTAGGGGAGTGGGGAGGATTTTGCAATATCCTTCCCCTGCCACGCCCACCAAAGCACCAAGCTACGCCCACAGAACCTACCATTCCCACCAAGCCACACCCACAGCTGATTGGCTGGGTCTTCTTTGGTTGCCCTGCACAGGAGAATGGAGCTGGAAAGCAGGTTAGTGGAGTGGGGAGGATTTTGCAATATCCTTCCCTTGCCATGCCCACCAAGCCACACCCACAGAACCGGTAGTAACATTTTTTGAATCCCACCACTGACCTGAGGCCCCAAATTATCTTTCTCTTCCACTGTTGAATGATGCGCTATATGTGAATAGAGATAGTCCTTGACTTACAATGGTTCGGTTAGTGACTGTTTCGAACTTACACTGGCACTGAAAAAAGGGACTTACGACTATTTTTCACACTTAAGAGGACCGTTGCAGTAACCTCCCCGAGTCACGGGATTAAAATTTCAGCGTCTTGGCAACTGACTCGTATTTATGACGGGCGTGATGGGATCTCCCTATGAACAGCAAAATCAATTGGGAAGCCAGATTCACTTAACAACCGGGTTCGTATCTTAACAGCCGCAGTGATTCGCTTAGCCACAGTGGCCAGAAAAATCATAAAATGGGGGCGAACCCCACTTAACTAATGTCTCGCTTAGCAACTCAATTGTGGTCATAAGTCAAGAATTACCTGTATTTCCAAGCAATCTCCTACATTCTCCATTGTGGGGAGTTTGTTTACTCCGTCTTCGTCACATCCCACGCAAGCTAGAATCTGCAACACGATCCAGAGCGATCCACATCTGGGGGAAAAATGAAAGAAACGAGAGAAGGGGGTTTCAGGGAAACCTGAGCAGCCCTGCCAGCGAAGCCAAACCAGTGGGTTTTGCATTGTCGTCTGTGCTCCAAAATTGAAAGCCAACTGGCTTCAGACCCCCTTTGGGAAAGGAAAACTCGCTTCTTCGCATCCTCTTTTTAAGTTACCAGGAATGTTGACAGCTTAATTGCTGATCCTGCCATGGTATATAACTCACAGAGGATGGAAAACCATCAACTCCAAAGTTTAACGTATCTGTTTTTCATTCCCACTTTCCCACAAACATCTCCAGATCTGGCTAATATTTAACCACTCCTGGACAGACTTCTTCCTACTGGGGCAAGGAACTGGTCCAGGTAAGGATTCGAGTCCTTGCCTACGCAAGCCACATTTCCATTGTCAATGCTCCTGCTCTGAATGGGAAGCACAATTATCTTGGCCCACACTGCATCATAGCTAATTGAGCCCAACGGGGATGAAACACCCCTCGTCTCCTGGACTCAACTTTAATCTCCAAACAAAGCTGCCGTTTCTTGTTCAATGATTATAGGCGAATGGGTACAAACATGGTGGCTAGAGCAGCCCACCAATCAACTAATTCCACATAACGAAGTGGGATGCAGACCCTGGGATCTTCAGCTACCAAACCAGAAGCCAAAGATAGTAGCAAGGACCTAAGATGTCATCTCCTCCAGCTCTTGCCTCCAGAAGTTGTGAATGCTCCAACATTGGGAGCTTTTAAGAAGAGATTGGACCACCCTTTGTCTGAAATGGGATAAGGTTTCCTGCCTAGGCAGGGGGTTGGACTAGAAGACCTCCAAGGTCCCTTCCAACTCTGTTATTCTACATCCTTCTTTAAAGCGGCTTTTCACTTTCACCAACATCCCACTAATGGCTATAAAATCATGGGTGTGCCACAGGTTTCTCCTTCGAGCCCTATTCTATCCTACCCTTTTTTTTTTTTTTTTTTTTTGCGAGAAGGCTTTGCCTTCTCAATTTTTGCTTGAAGTCTATGCACAGTGGACTTTTTTTAATACTAGTAATACCTTGTATAATGGACTAACTCTTAAAGAGGCATATATTTAAAAGTTTAAAAGGGATCGGACAGCCATTTGTCCAGAATGATATAAGGTCTCCTGCTTGAAGAAGGGGTTGGACTAGAAGACCTCCAAGGTCCCTTCCAATAACACTGTTATTCTGTATTTATGACACCTTAACTATAGTTCTCCAAAGTTAAGATTGCCTATCCTTAATTTGGGCACTGGGTTTTCTTGTACAATTGAAACAGCCATTTGCACTGCAGGAAAAACACGTCCACAAAACCATTCATTAGAGCCCACCAAAATGCCATGCAAATAGGTGCTTTCAGGTTCTCTTCATCTGGCAATACTGGATAAAAACATAGAAGGGAAGGGAGGAAAGGAGGGAGGGAAGGAGGAGGGAGGAAGAAGGAAGGAAGGAAGGAAGGAAGGAAGGAAGGAAGGAAGGAAGGAAGGAAGGAAGGAAGGAAGGAAGGAAGGAAGGAAAGAAAGAAAGAAAGAAAGAAAGAAAGAAAGAAAGAAAGAAAGAAAGAAAGAAAGAAAGAAAGAAAGAAAGAAAGAAGCAATCTGCTTTCCTGGAAATTGTTAAAATGTCCTTAACCAGGTGACATCACCCCATCTAGCATCCTGTTGTTGAACGGGCAGTTGCAAGCCCCAGGAAACAGATAAACAGGATGCGAAGCTCTTCCAATTTGCCTTCTGTGCTATACTATTTAGTGGTATAGTCCCCCTGGACACGGAGGTTTCACGTTTCTATCTGAACTTTCAGCCCGAACGTCCTTTTGCTCATGGAGGAATCGAGGCAGGCAGGCGTGATGACAGAATTAGCTGGTCGATTGCTTCGCTCGGGGGGGAAAAAAACAACGAAATGACTTTGTGGGAAAGGCAGACACGGAGGAGGAGAGCTCAGGCTGTTGACAACCCTGGCTTTGGAAGTCGTAACGGCTGGGCTGAAGCCCTCCCGTCTCTCAGCTGAAAGGATTCGGGGATAAGAAAATGCCTCTGCCAAAATAAAAAAATAAAAAATAATATGGGAGAGCTATTCCTTATTAGGACCTTCGCTGGGGAAGCTAGACCAGCAAACTGGCTCCTTTGGGGAAGGAAAATAAAACGGGGCTAATCAGAACGAGGGGAAGAATGGAAACCAACATTGCATGGACTTTAGGCTGAGCCCACAACGGAAACTCAAGTCACAACACTGTTGATATTAGAACCGATGCTGGGAATCATTGACAGACATAATGGAATAAGACTTATTTTTGCATCCGCTCAACCGCTCCCCTTGTTGGTGGCATTTCTTCCTCGTCGTCCATGATTGAGCACATGGCCAGAAGGATGATTAATTATTAAACAATATATAGTTTGGTGCTTTAGAGTGGGTGGAAGGCTGTGAGTTCGATCCTGGGTAGAGGCAGATGTTTTTCTCTCTGTGTGCACACTGAGAATATATCTGCCAAACAAAACTCCACACTGGCGACAGGGAAGGGCATCCGGCCAGTAAAAAACACTCTGCTAGCTCCATTCAGTTGCCCAGACTCCACCCCGCAAGGTATTATAGGGCCGTTAAATGAAGAGGATGATATAGTTCAGTGCTTTCCTTTGATGCAAACCTCCGGAGAAGAAGAAGATTCTGTTTATTTCTGGTGGCAAAAAGTCGCCATCTTCGGTGTAAATTCCAGGGAAAATGCAGATCGGGATTTTCAGTTGTAGGACCCTTACATACATATATCTGTCAGAGAGAAGAGACCAAGTGCACACCACACAGGATGGTGTATCGGTTAGGAGCCTTCGACAACTTTGGTTAGTCTCCATTTCTCTGCCCACCTTCACAGGGATTGTTGTTGCTGCGGAGTTACAAGAGGGAGAGGCAGGGTTACGCATCTCTCCTTTGAGTTATTAGCAGGAAAAGCAGGAGCAAACCTTTCCAAACAGCCCACCTGTGGGCTTAGATTTCCTTCCCCTTTCAAATAAAAAACCCAATGATGTGATGATAAAAAAAACAAAAAACAGCCATCAGGGTTAATTTCCCCCTCCCTGCCACAATAACAAGTGTAATTCCGTGGCAACAATTGCAGTGGCTTTGAAGTTAACTGGGTGGAAAAAAACATTTTTTTTATCGCTGGCAGACCAATGAGATGCATCAGCCGAAAAGTAATCAATGTAGCTGGCTAGAAAGGATGGGTAATTCGGCAAAAACGTGGGATGGAACAGAGCATCTCTTTTCTTTGTGTGTTTTTCACTTGTAAAAACGTTTCGGTTTCCGCTGTCTCTCCTTTTATTTATTCTTCCTCCTTTGCAGTTGCAAAACAAGACCTAACCTCGGGTCCCACTGAGGTTTAAAGGTTTTCTTTATGGCCAAACTTCTGTTTACACAGCACAAGTCCTCTCCTCCCATCTGTGCATACTTTTGGTGTGTGTGTGTGTGGGGGGGAATTGTTTCATCTGAGTCTGTTGCTATGTAAGTATATCAAGGACAACACTGCTGGCATCTCAACCCGTTTCTTGTTTCTTGGGGGATTAGGGATGTTCCCTTCTTCTGCAAACAAAGTCCATCTCTGAATTTCCAGGGACGTCTCCCCACCCTGCTTTGAACTGCAGTGAAAAAATGCATAGAATGGAAGCTTCCTAAGATATTGGGGCAACTCCTGAAGTTTAGGAAGCAGTCAGATATATTGCGGGGGTGTGTGTGTGTGAAACAGCTCATTCCAACCGGTGCCCTCCAGAGGTTTGGGAATCATTCATAGCAGAACAGAACCACAGAGTTGGAAAGGGGACCTTGGAGGTCTTCTAGTCCAACCCCCTGCCCAAGAAGGAGACTTTATAGCAGGGGTCTCCAACCTTGGCAACTTTACGACTTGTGGACTTCCAACTCCCAGAATTCCTCCTCCAGTCATGTTAGCTTCGGGATTCTGGGAGTTGAAGTCCCACAAGTCTTAAACTTGCCAAGGTTGGAAACCCCTGCTTTATAGCATCCTGGACAAATGGCTTGTCCAATCTCTTCTTTAAAAACCTCCAGGGATGGAGCGCCCATGATTTCTGGTGGCAAGTAGTTCCACTGGTTAATTGTTCTCACGGTCAGGAAATCTCTGCTTGGTTCTAGGGTTGCTTCTCTCCTTGATCAGTTTCCCCTCCGTTGCTTTTCATCCACCCCAGGTATTTGGGGGGGGCAATGGATTGAGGAGACACTTAGCGAGAGCCCCCAAAAAGGATGGGGTGATCTGGGGGTTTCTCTCTGGAAGCTCCATCCATGACTCCTGCCAGACATCCCACGCCTTCCTTTTGGGAGCCTGTCCTGCCTCTCCTTCTGCAAAGCATCGGAAGGACTTAATTTCACTGGCAAGACCTGCTCAGACTCATTCTTGCCGTTGATAAAGGTGATGGTTGCTCAATTCAGCTGGGGAGGCCACGTGCTCAGTTCTCTCTCTCTCCCCCATTTACCTGCCTTGCCCCCAATTCCAGAAGGGATCAAAAAACCACATTCAGGCTGGCATTTCCTGACTGATGATGTGCTGATGTTAGGCTGAGCCCTACCCAGCACATTTCTTGCCTCTGGCGGTGTGCAAAAGCAGATCCGGGAAGTGCGTTGCCAAAGATTGAAACTGGTCATTCCCGCGCTTTCCTTCATGGTGCAAAAAAGAAAAAAGAGAGAACAGATTTCAACCCGTCTCTTCCCTGCGGTTGCTTGGCTGTGTCATGGATTTTCTGACTGCTGCAAAGGAGGGAGGGAGGTCGACCTGTGTGGATCCCGCCTCCCATCAGCCCTGGCGAGGAGAATGAGCACTGCAGTCCAAGGTCATTTGGAGGCTCCCTTAGCTTGCGTGGCAACCCTTTTAAACAACAGCTGCAGGGCTTCTGTAGGAGATACAGATGTGACCAATCGGTCGCAGATAAAGGAGGAACGTCCTTCCCTCTGTTTTGGCCAGCAAATGGTATGCTGATTTGAGTGTTCAACCCCTCTTCATCCTAGGGCATGCAGGGAGGAACGGAAAAGGGAGCAATGTGGGTTGCATGGCTTACGGGGGAGGAAAGGGCCCTGATTCCCTTCATTAGCTGCAGCTGGGAACACAGTGTATTAAAAAAAGGCAAGCTGCGTGCAGCAAGCTGTTGGGAGCAAATATGAATTTATCCTGTATTGTCATGGTTTATCTGTGTTCCTGGCGTCTTCCCAACCGTGTGAGTTTTGCCGTGCTTTCAAAACTGAAAATCCTTCTCCTGCCCTGCCAAACTAATTACTTCGGTTGGTTGGTTTGGATTTTAAGTTACAGTTTGTGTGTACCTTGTTTTGGACTTATTTTTCTACTGTCAAAGGCTGTTCCTGGGAGAGTTTTTCTCTAGCCCAAAGATAACCTGGACACTGGGGGCAAAGTTGGAGATAATAAAGGGACTCTTATTGCTTATTTGACTGTGTTGCCTTTATGCTACGCCCCAGGTCATCACAAAACAGCTTTTAATGCGGAACATGGAGAATATAGTGTCTCTGGGGAGACTGAAGGCTTGTTCTCTTGGGATGGATGTGGCAGAGTCATGTCTTACCAGACGTCCAAGGGTGTGCCATATGTGGGGGAAAGGTGAATATAGCTGGCAAAACTTGGCATGGGCAGCATAGCTGAGAGAAGGAGGGTGTTTCCCCAAGCAGGGAACAGACTGCAATAACAGTGGAACATCTGATTTCCATCATGTGCTACTGGGAAGGCTTCCATTCTGCTGGGGGTGGCAATTTGTAAACCCCGCAAGGATCTAAAGCATCGGTGTTCCTCCCACATTCAGAGTCCAAACCATGGATGGGTGGGGTTTCTCCAAAGCCCAGACTAGCATTTTGGGAGGCCAGAGAGCCAATTCTCAGCAGGCCGAATGGGAGATCCCGTCCCATCTGGGATGCATTTTGCCCCTTTTTTCCCGCCGCCAGAGATCCGTGTCTGCACTTGCAGAAGGCAAACCGATTAGTTGGCTTGTTTGTTTCTGTATCCGGAACACTCCCAGAGTAGCTCACGCCATAATCAGAACCAGAAGCCGAGCTTAGAACCGAAAAAAGGCACGGCAGGGAAAGGAAAGGGGACCGAGGGGAGGAACGGAAAAGCAGAGAACGCAGTAGGTGGATGGGAAGCTTCCCCAAAGAAACGTCTCAAGGTTGTAGGCTTAGACTGGAAAGTTAAAACAAACCAAACAATAAAATAAAATAAAATCTGAGAGCATGTCAAAAATAGCCACATAGACACCAGGAAGAAAGCTCAGTTTTGAATGACCAAGAATGTCCAGTTTTGGCTTATCTTAATGGAGCTTACACTTTAGAAGTGAGTGGTTTTAGGGTTCCACCTGATTTTTGATGTATGTCTTGAACCTATTAAGGTCTCCTTCCGCCTGGACGGAAGGGAAGCTATCCTGATCACGTGACATTCCTGGTTCTTTTCCAACTGTTCCCCAGGCCTTCAACCCACCCTTCCTGACTTAGAGGGGGATCTCCTCTTCCTATTGGACAGCTCAGGCAGCGTCTCCTACTATGAATTCTCCAGGATCAAAGAGTTCATCGCTGAACTGCTTCTCCCGTTTACCTTTGGACCTCACGATGTCCAGACCGGCATCGTCCACATCAGTACCATGCCCATCCTGGAGTTCCCCTTTGACCGGCATTTCTCCACCGGGGCCATCCAGCATGCCATCCGCAACATCCAGCAGGTGATGGGGGACACCAACACCGGCCAAACCATTTCCTTCGCCAAGGAGAAGCTCTTCACGGCGGAAGCGGGGGCCCGTCCCAACGTCCCCAAAGTGCTGGTGTGGGTGACCGATGGCTTCTCCAAGGGCGACGTCACCCAGCCCATGCAGCTTCTGAAAGACATGGGGGTCACCGTCTTCATTGTCAGCACGGGGAGGGGCAACTACCTGGAGCTCTCGGCTGCCGCCAGCCAACCGCCGGAGAAGCACCTCCACTTTGTCGATGTGGATGACCTGGGCCTCATCACCAAGGAGCTGCAGGATTCCATTGCAGGTATTTGGGTGGAATAGCAATAATAGCAATAGCCCTTAGACTTATATTGTCATGCCCTTGTGGACTCTGATTCTGAGGGGGAGATTGAGCAGCTGACAGGGAGTGGGAGTGTGGCTCCAGCTGTGGAAGAAATGGGGGAAGGGCACAGTCCGGCTGGGCATTCAAAGGAAGACCCAGGGCCATCCCCTCTTCATCCTAGGCACGCAGGGAGGAACGGAGAAGGGAGCAACGTGGCTTACGGGGGAGGAAAGGGCCTTGATCCCTTCCATTAGTTGCAGCTGGGAGAACAGGATATAAGTGGGGCGTTTGAACATGGCTCCTTGCTGGAAGCAAAGCGTGCATTATGTTGGTCGAGGTTTATCTGGGTTTTGGCATCCTCCCAACTGTGGGTGCTGCGTTCTCCTTTGAAAATCTGCAATTTATCATCCTGGCCTGCCATGTCAATTATTTCAGTGTGGTTTGTGTTGGTTTTTTTAAAAAAATCTAATTATCTTTACTTTGGGTTCAGACTGCATTTCTGCCTGTTTTCTGCATAGTTGACACAGCCATCATTTAAAAACAAAACCCATCGTTCTCATTGCATCAGAGAACAGGCCTTTCTCGGGGGGGGGGGGTGTTCCCTCCCGGATCCTCCTCAAACTTGGACCGGATACAGCCGAGCCCTCTCCTTTTCTGCCCCAAGGCTGTGGTTTTCCCAGCTCCAGCCAGTTCCCCTATGTACAAAGCGATCTAAGGCTGGAATCCGGGCTCCAGGGCTGGGGGACTGGGTAGCTCGGGAAGAGGCCCAGAAATGGCACTTTAAGATCATCACATCACATGAGATCTTGTCAAAGGCTCCCTTTGTAGTAGCACAGAAGGGCATTGTTTTGCAAAGGGGGCCCCCCGCCTTTCTCTCGAATGCCTCCCGTCTGCCAATGGAGTGCTGGCAGCCTTTGGAGGCACTGAAGAGACACAACGGCCTGCCCCGTCCCCTCTGGAAGGCAGCGTCTCTGTTGGGCAGGCTGATAACACTTAAGGCTGAGGGACCATAACCAGTGCTCAGAGGGAGAGGGGGAGGTTAAAAAAGATAAGATGGATGGATGGATGGATGGATGGATGGATGGATGGATGGATGGATGGCAAGGGAGAGAAGAGAGAGAGGGAGGGAGGGAGGGAGAAGAGAAGAGGGGAGAAAGAGAGGGGGAGGGGGAGAGAGAAGAGAGAGAGAAGAAAGAGGGAGAGAGAAAGAAGAGAGGGGGAAGGAGGGAGAGGGGGAAAGAGAGGGGGAGGGGGAGAGAGAGAGAGAAGAGAGAGAGGGAGGGAGGGAGGAAGGGAGAAGAGAAGAGGGGAGAAAGAGAGGGGG